TATTCTTCACACAGGACTCAAAGTGGACTTGATCTCTCCAACACGCAAACCCAATATGTATGAGTGCCTCTCTGATATTGAAAGGAACATCACAAGGGCAGCATCTTAGGTGACCACGAGGAGACCTTAACCAGGCCTGAGCCCACATTTGGGTTCTCCAACAGCACAAATCCGATCTTGTTGCAGATTTTGTCTGGACAACATCCTGCACCAGATCGGTGGCTTATCCGGCTAGTCAAATCGGGCTTCATCCATCCCAACTCGTGCTGCTCCCAATGGATTTTGTCCATCCACAGCACGCCTTTGTTTGGGTCGGTGTTCAAAGGGAAGCCAACAGGAAAACCAGCGTTTTACGGGACCCCCTTGCAAAACCTCCAACTGTCTGCCCTGGTTGGTGAACGAAAACCAGTACCGTTTTAGGGGACCCATCCCCTTTTCAGGGGGGGGGGGGGGGGGGGGAAAAAAAAACGGTTCTCCGCGTTTGTCCACGCGTCGCGGATGTCCGAGACGGATACGGAGATCGAGGCTGGGCTTCGCACCCCGCCAGGCGCATCCGCGAGAAGGGCCGCTTGGCGAAGGCAGCCCCCAGGCCTGCGGCGAGAGGCGGACGGGTGAGTCGACCTATGGCAAGGGGAAGCCTCCTGTTCTAAGTCACTGGTCTGTGGTTCCTTGCTATGTGAGTCTGAAACATGGGGAGGGGATAAACAAAAATTGTACACCAACCACTGTTCAGGTGGTTTCGACGCTGAAAGTGCGTAGCCAAATAGGGGAGCCTCAAAATAGTGGGATGTCAGAACGCGTTCTTTAGGGACGGGATAGAGTCGGATGTCAATTGGGTTTGCGCGTGGAGGCTCGGTACCCTTTTCAGCTTGGTCACCTGGCTCCAAGGGCAACCAAAAAAGAAACACCATATCAGTCAAGTCAAATATGTGTGTCAAAGCGGGGGCCTCAAAATGGATCTTCCTTTTGAGTTCCCTTTGGACAAACCTCAAACTTCAACTGTCAGACATCGCAGCTATTGGTGGCTCTTCGACATCTAGTTGGGCGGCTGACCTTAGGGCATAGCAGTCTCCGTGCCCATGTTCAATCAAACGCACAACTGCCGGACCTACTCTGGTTTCAAAACCCAAGCCAATCGGCACCGGTTGAAGCCTGGATGAAGCCTATTGGCTACTGGGAAACTCACCTAACAACTAGTGCAGGATTTGGTCCATCCTATCTGGGCACATTGCAAAAGTGCACCAACAAAACATGCACGCCAAAGAAAGGCACCCTCACTTTGGGTGGCGTTGCACCCCACCCCCACAGTGCCCACCAACTCTGCACACAACAATATATATGTTCAGATTCTTCTTGTCTAGTCTACCCCGAACTATAAAATTGCTTGCGGAGTCTTCAACTGGCCCCCTTTTAGCTTTTCCGAAAAGCCCCCGGATTTCTTGAAGGACTGAAGGGAAACTGCGTGTCGTTTTCTTCCGGAAGATTCGGTCCCTGATGTCCCTATGTTTTGGCCCGCGCTTGGGCCGCCGGCACTGCAGATCCGTCGCCGTGAGCCCGTTCCGCTCCAGGCCCAGCACGTCCAGCGCGCAGCGCGGCAGCACAGACGCCAAGGCCTCACAGAGAAGCGCGGCCCAGATCCGCGGATTTGGAGCGTTCCCGTTTTGGGGTTGCTCAAATGCCCAGTGGCCATGGGAAAAAAGAGCACCCTTTGTTGCTTGGTGGACTTTAGAGGGACACCCTTCCCAAAGAAAGGAAGAAAGGGCACCACTGGGCAACTGGGTCAGGGAAAAACAAACACCTTGGGGTGCCCTCAAACAATACAAGCCCGCTGTCACAGGGAGCGTGCAAAGGTGCATCATGTTGATTGCCGTGCGGGGCCACTTGCGGCCACTCGAGTGAATGCGAGTGGCTCCAAGTGGAGCATCGCACGCAACAACATTGTCGAAGCAGCAGCACTACAGTTTGGTAAGCTGCCCTTTGTTCGGCAAATGAGCCAGCAGCATTGCACGAGCTTTCAGCACACAAACTGCAACACTTTGTGTGGTGAAAAGGGTTCAGCGTTTATACCCTGCAAAGCCAGAAATACCGCATTCATTGCAGAAAGTGGATGAGCAGGTCTTGGCGGCAAACGAGCTCCTCGTATGCCACGAGCTTTCAGTAAGCAGCCTCTCAGCGAAGGAGGATTGCCAGTCTTTTAGGAGCGGGGGCTCTTTGGCCTCGCCGGAGTGCCTCCTTAGCCTCTGCAGCGAAACGCTCCTTCGGAGCCGAATGAACGAGCCCAAGCAGCAAGCATTGCGCTCATGGAACGGCATAAAAGCCCAATAAAACCCCTGGGATGTATAGAACTTAAAACCCGATAGCATGCGGCATAAAGATAAATAGCAAGAAACATGTTGTGGCCAATGAAAAAACCACATCGTGGACATGTATCTTGTGCACTTGACATGGATAGTCCATCAATTCACTCTACTCAAGGGCTTGTCCATCACTCCAAGCGAGGACGGTGACTAACAACTCCTCAAATGTTTCAAAGAGACAACTCCCATCGGCTTATTTGGGCCTCAAGGATACCTCTTGACTCTTGCAGGCCTATTTTGCAGGCTTGGTCGCGGGGGGAGGCCGTTGATGGCCAGTGGTGTTGCTAATATTTGATCCTTCGAACTGACCAAGCTGCCGAAACTCTGCTGCGAGTTGCTCCTACTTTCGTGCTAATGTTAGGCTTTGATTGCGTTTTGTTTACCTTGTCATACGCAAATCAAGCCAAGATCTGCTCAAAAGAACACCATGTGAAAAGCGTCAAAGCACCCCCCCCCCCCCCCCACCGCGCAGTTTTTGGCCGGGGCAGCAAAATAAGGTCTCCCCCTTCCCCGTCTCCCAATTTGGGAGTGGAAACCAAAAGGGGCTGAAGCCCTCCTTGTTGGCCTAAAACTTCACACTTGTCAGCGCCCAAAATCCATTGACCCCAATTAAACCGAACCAAGAAACCCTCGCTTAGGCCACCCATTACTTAGGCCACCCATTCCTTAGGCAAGTGGCCACCCAGTGCCCAGGTTACATAAGCCTTGCCCATTACTTAAACCAGGAAACCAAACCACCTGTGACCAAACTTCTAAATTTTCACACATTTCAGCACCCGAAACCCATTGACTTGTACATGGATGCCCGGATGGTCAGACTACATAGGCCTTACGCCAATACTCGCGTTGCCTCCAGTCCAGGAGTCTTCATGTCGTTGCCTGCCAACTGGAGGGACCTGGGCCAGGCAGGTTTGGCCTTGCTCCTTTCGTTGCCTTGTGGCACCATCCTCAATAAAAGCCCCGAATCTATTCAAGACATATGTATCTGTATATATATATACATACATACATACATAGAAATATGTATGTGTATAGTGTATATATAATATGTCGTTCTGTGTGCTCTAATTGGTCATGGGAAAAGGACCGTGCGCGTTTCTGTTTCTTGATCCTGTCGGGGGCATGACAACAGAAAAGCGAACACATGGAACAAACACGGAGAACGGATCCTACCTCCACCCAGGTCCACCTAAAATGATCCTAGGGCTCCCAACAGCAGGGCCAACGTGTGACCCTTTGAGAGGCGCATAGCCACTCTGGACGTCATTCAGTCACATGGGCTTGGACGTTGTCAGGGGGCGAAATGCTGGAAACAAACACTAGCAAACACTAGGCCCATGTTCCCGACGCTTCGTGGAAACAAGAACTCAGGAATCCCCAACAGCCCCAGAGGCCCATAGCTTTCAGCTGGAGCTGAAAGGCAAACTGAGTGTTCCCTCTCAAATGGTTTAATGGAAAAGCCTTTTGTTTTTGTTGCTTTTTAAGGCTAAGGTCACGCCAAAGTCCATGCAAACTAGACATAGAGAAGCAATGTGATGGACTAGATTGCTAACATCTTGCGGCTGTGATCATGACTTGTGGTGTTAGTTCACAAACCCCGATTCCAATTGAGCAGCCCCCAAAACTCATTGACTGCTGGCTCTACTAAGATGGTCGCGAAGGTCGTTGTATAGGCGTTACCACAATCCTGCTAAGCCAGGCAGCAGAACAGCCTACGGCTGTTCAATGTCCTGTGGTTGCCAAGGGCCCCCAATCCAATAGGGGCTAATGATTTAGAAACGACTAACAAGGCCAAGGGCCCAAAAAGTTACTTATATATATATTATTATTTTTTGTATTATTTTTTTTCGGGGAGTCCAATTCCTCTCGAGGTTCCGACCCTCATGGGACAATGGCCATCGGTTTTGGCTCCTCTGGGAACCCGGCTTCAAGCTGGTGTAGGGCAACTGCTCTGCAACCTGCTTGGGGGCTACATGCTATAAATGGGTTCACAAACAAGCAGACGTAACAGAATCGAATACCTTTTTTAGACGAAGTGCCGTTGGCATTTGCTTAGAACCATCAAGACGCCTGCCAAGCAACTTGCTGGAAGTTTGGGGGGATGGCACCGACTGGGACAGGAATTGGCAAAACTCTTGCCAAAGCTTTGGTGGTTCAAACCGCTGCTTCTTTCGTATCTGGGCGGGGCATCTTCAGAGAGGAGTTCCAGTCGGTGCCCAAATCATCGAAGTCCGTCCGGCTTGCGCCACTGAGCGTATTGCCGGGAAAATGGACTCCTGGAATTAAAAGAACGGGGCCAAGCGACATGAGTCCCGTTTGCCAGGGTCATAGCCAAAGCAACAAACAAAAAGAACAGTGCTGTCTTTGGTGCCAGGTACGTTCCCCAGTGTCCGCTAGCTGTGAAGATGCTTGTCCAAACAGCAATCAAACCTATGAACTGATTGGAGGTGATTGGGCCCCACGGTTGCTAGCGGGCTCTTTCACGCAAAAGAATCGCCTGAAGCGTCTCCATGAAAACGCACGTCCGACTGGTCATGTGCACTTCTTGGTCCAAACAGTTCAGGATTTAGGGGAGGTCAGTTTTTCGGACAGGGACCGTGAAGAGGCCGGATTCTCGCGTCTGTGTAGAAAACCTCTTTAGTGTGTGTGTGTGTGTGTCCCTTTCTCTTTAACAGTGCGTGTCTGTGTGGTTGGGAATGGGGAAACATCCAACCACTGGACTTCATTGATCTTCCACCCTGTGAATCACTGGTTTTGGCGGCCTCCCCCCATTTTGAGACTAAACCTGAAACATGTGTTTGCTTCTGTGTCGCTCAAAATCGAAAGATCCCTAGACTGTACCCCCTAAGGGCACACCCAAGGGAAACCTCCATCTGGGATTCAGAGTTGATCTTGCAAAACCACCATCCAACTAGGTCTTCATCTATTTTGGTCCCTGTCAATTGGTGACACCCTATCTTCACGGTATCTCTGGCAACTTTTGGACCAATGGCCATTAGATGCTGATAGCTTCCGGAAAACGGGCTTGGCTGGCAGACCCCATTTTGAGAACCCAATTCCTCAGTGTTGGTATTTTTTCAGGATCCTTAGCTCCCCATCTGAGCCATGGTCAAAATTACTTGCTTCCCCGAAAGACATGGAACAGTCAGTAGACTACCAGCAATTTACACCCTGCCTCATCTAGGGATCTTGAGTTCAGTGCTTGAATTACCTTGATTGAAACAACGGAATCTTCCCAGATTGGTTCTTAAGCTCCTCAGAAAAATCATTCATAACCTTCAGGGATACTCCTCGGCTCGCTTCGTTTGAATCGCCTGTTGCAGATCCTCCAAGGAGAGGCTGCAGTGTGCCACCGCCAGCTCCTAGCTTACACATCGGGACCCAGAAGCGAGCAGGTTGCTGGTGGCAAGGCCCCTCTGATATGCTCGTTTACTCCAGCTCCACCATGTCAGGCACATTCTTGCACCCAAACCCGACCGACCCCTCCCAGCCTTCGGCCTGGGTGGAGTTCTTAGGGTGTTAAGCAAGAGACCCAGCAAGCAAGTGACCTCGTTCTACCCCTCTTGAGCTTGTTCTATCACTCCCACATGCTTTTGCCTCGTCAGCTGACTGCTGCCAACGACATGCCTCATGGCCATCTGTGGTGTATGTCATGGCAGGAATGAATGTGGAAGACGCTCGTTTCCATTGTAGGGCTTGTTGCTGATACCAAATCCGTGAGGGAAGGTGGTTAACCAGATGATTCAGCCAATATGGGTGTATCTTTCTTAGGTGGTCCCCTGTTGGTTGGTTTCAAAAGGACACCAACAGGAAAACAACAATTTTGGGGGTTCCTAACAGGAAAACACCTCCCCTATTTCGAGACAAACCCCATGCAGTCGATTAGTTTGCATGTGATCTCTTGGACCTTTTGGCAGCTTCTGAACCCGGTCTCACACCATAAGTCTCCGGCATGGTTTGCCGTTGCCGCCTGAAACAGACTGGGCGCGGTGCGACCGAAACCACAAAAGGATGAGACCTGACAGGAGGAAAAAAACTTACATGTGCTGTTTGTGTCAGGTCTCTTACATGTTTAAACCATTCTTTTGAACAATCTCTGCTTCAATTTGTGTCTGGTTTCAACGGCCGGCGATCAATGCTGTCCTCCAGCACCGGAGCCTCCAGCACCTGCGGTCGATGCTGCTTTCCCTTTGGGCAACTGGAAATTAGGGCCACTGACTTCTTTTTTTGAGGCTGCGAGTGAATGGAAAGCAGAGGGATTTGACAACGAGATCTGGTCTGTCTCTGGCTCGCAGGTTTCACGGAAATGTTCTCTCGGCTGCTTGAAGCCTGGGTCATTCGTCAGGGGCTGTGGAAAAAAAAAAACAAAACAAAAAACACAAAAACACAACTCCAACCAGTCGCCGGAATGGATTTTCCGGTGAACCGTGCGGCTTCAAAGAAAAACACGGCGGAGGACTTGGGACTTCCGACCCGATTCTTTGGCCGACGGAGACCCGCGCGCTTCCCCCGCCTCAGCGATGACCTCCCCGCAGCCGGTGAGGCCATTCCCCGAGAGGTCCAGCATGTTCAAGCGCAGTCTGGGCAATGCTCGTCTCTGGTTTGGTGTGGTTTGGTATGGTGTGGTTTGGTGTCGTGTGGAGTCTGGAGTGGTTTGGTAGGGTATGGTTGTTTATGAGCTCAAAGCAAGTCTGGGCCACCCCCATGCAAAGCCCACTTTGCCTAGGCTGCCAAAAAGCATGATTGACATTTTGTTGCTGCAGGCATATCAAGCAAGTGGTGCGATGCTCCAGCTCTGGCGGGTGACGGCACGTTCTGTGGCTGCCCCAAAGAATAACAATTTCCCTGGCTTGTGGGAAGCTCATCATTTTCTATGAAGAGTTCAAGGTTAAAGATGCCACCCCATTGCGGCCAAGTATTGGGACTTCGGCTGTTGTGATTTCCCTATTTCAGGTTCGGGCTCGCACCCCGGGTTCCGGCTTGGAGCCGATACGTTGACCCCTTCGCACAAAAATAATAATGTTCATCCGCATCTGCCAGGATCGAAGCCATAGGATTGGCCTTCAACCAGCCTTCCTGGAGGCGCCGCCTACCGGAATTTAGGAAATGCTCCATTGCACAATCCAATACGATCCATGTCCTG